GTATAGAATGCTATAAAACATTTTATTTAATGTTAACTACTTACGAGTATACTAATTCCTATCATCAAGTAAAAACTAATATCTAAAAAACAGTCATTTTAATTAGCGCCAAAGCATTTATGTAACACACTGCGACTGCATTTCCGCCTGTGCATGCTGGAAGGGGTTATGTGTCAACCTGCGCATGCGCTCGGGCGCGGGCTCAAAGTGAGGACTTGTGTCGCCTGTTGCAGTCATGCGCAAGGCCTTCCAGATGTTCGACACGAGCAAGTCGGGCTTCATTGAGACGCTCAAGATCTCCACCATCCTAAACACCATGGGCCAGCTGTTCGACGACAGCGAGCTCCAGGCGCTCATCGACGAGACGGACCCCGAAGGTAACCCCCTCAATTGAATTGAATTGAATTGATTTGAATTTGCCTGATTTTACGTGGCGAGGCTCGGGTCATCAGGCCCGCTCTTCCGTCTGACCACGCAAATTTCGCTACAAGTACTACACAACACATGCCGGGAGACCGGTCGGGAGCTTAGAGCTAGTCCCGGCTGGGGCGGTACCCCGCTGATGGGAGATACCTGGGTGGGGAAACCCCGCTCGCCTACGGTAGATCGGCGCCGGATCTCGCCATACAGCGGGGCGAGAACACCGCCACCGCCTGAGTAAAACATGCACTGTACTTCCGGGACTTATGACCCTAGAAGATGACACGCGCGGAATGACTGGTCACACCTCTCGCGGTGCCCCTCTAGCCTCTTCCGCTCAGTCTAATCCTCCCGTACAGGCCCATTCACATTGCAAACATAAACATGGCGTTAAAATAAAAAATTAGGCCTACGTCCATAAGCGGACTCATTCACAATGCGTTCGCATAAGCACAATACATAAGCTGCTAACTTCAAAGCTTGCATGCTTCAAGCTTATGTGCTTACGCTTACGTAAGACATAAGAAATGAACCAATCACAGAACGGTAACTCAAAATCGAGAATCGAAATTGGAGGAAAGTCGATAGAAGGACTAACGCCATATAGGATGTAGACAGAGTCGATATCTTGAAATCGATTCTCACATCCAACCAGAAAGTCTTACAGCCAATAGAAACTTATTTTGCTTACGTTTATGTTAGGCGTTGTGAAAACGTCAGTCTATTGCTTATGTTAATGTTTATGTCTACGCGCTATGCTTATGTTTACGTTTGCATTGTTAATGGACCGTACATCACACTCCGCCGACTTCTTCCGCGCATTCCTTCCGTTCTTCTCGCTTCTTCCGCTCCTTGCTCTCCTCACGTCCGCTCCCTTCGCTCGTCCCTCCCGATGCCGTCCGCTCTGCCCCGCTCCACGTCACCCGGCAGCAATACCACCAAGACGCATTGGCAATTGAATTAAACCAAATATTGTAACAAACACATTTTGGGGTCACATTTTGTATTGCAACTACGCTTCATGCTACAGCTACTATGCACGGCCGCTCTAAAGTATTCGCGCCAAATGTGGAAACAATCACTCCAGTGGTTCTAAGGTTTTTGTGGCACGTCCAAACATGAAAGCGCGGCCTGAGTCAGTCATCTACTTGGTTGTCCGAAAAATGCAGCTTCTTAGGTACGGATGGCAAAGTTTTGGCCGTCACGCTGCAACCTTCCTCACTTTTCGCCTTGAAGAAGGTCACGAAAAGGCGGCTGGATCGTCATCAGTGCCTGAACACGGACTGTCTCCCTAACAGCCAAGTAAATACGTAGAAACACACATACACTCACTCATATATAATTAATGGTATTACCAGATATATTGACAGATAATACAAACAACGAGTTATCGTAACATCGTAAATTGTTATTTGAAGTTTATCGACCTAATAACAACAATAAGTTTCGCAGAACCACCATGCACGACATCTCACTGGGAGGTGAAAGAGTTCGAGTCCCGATGGTGGCAGGATTTTCGATACTAGTTTCATAGATAGGTCGAATTCAACCAAACCGCTGCCTAGCTGTCGGCTTCTCTGATCGGTAGTATTCCGCGGAATCTCTGATCTAGACAATATCCTAACAAACGGGCCACGGACCAAGCGCGATCTTTTCTTTCTCTTCCTTGTCCTGTTCTCACCCCTTACTCACACGACCACACACTTCACTGCCACAAATGCTGGGAAACCAATCGCGAGGTTAGAACTTGTCTGGGCTGGGTTTGTTCCCAGCTTGTGGGAGATACCTGGTTGGGGAACCCAGGAAGCCGAACGGATCTCGCTATTCAACGGGGAAGACAATCATCACCACCACCACGTACAGGGATAAACATATGCACTTCACTCACGGGACTCATGACCTTAGCAGTTGGCACGCTCGGAACCACTAATCAATGACCAAACGACCCGTAACTCTTGTAAGAGCCCACGCTGAGCGCGCGTGCATCTCTGATTGTGTGTTTGCGCATGCGCAGCGTCGGGCCGGGTGAACTTCGACGGCTTCTGCCGCATCGCCGCGCACTTCCTGGAGGAGGACGACTCGGAGGCCATGCAGGAGGAGCTCAAGGAGGCCTTTCGCCTCTACGACCGCGAAGGTGAGTGCCACCTCGGCGTCCCACAAGGGCCAGCGATGGACGCGGAAGCAGCACGACTTTATCGAATTATTGGTGACGGTTATAATGTTCAATGTTTATTAATTATTCAAAGATATAATATAAGATTATTTTAATAATAATATAAGATGTATAATTTAAGAGACATAATTTAAGATGGCACGCGTGAAGACAATTTGCTGAAAAGAAACAGCGTTGAATTGACTTTGTGTTTCGTCACACAGCGTAGACGGCAAATTATCTAGATTGTTTTCAGTATTCGGTAACTTGTACTTGTAAAATTAATTCCGTGTCCCAAACTGATGTACTTCAGCTTCAGACTAGTCTAATTTGTAGAGAGGCAAAGGGTTGTCTTTCACTCATTTGTTTATTCTACATTACCATGAAATAGATTTGATTATTTTAAATTATTCAAGAAATAAGTTTATTACATAAGATGGTGTTTACTTGCCACTAGATATAATTATTGACTTATTACTATGTGATATAATTATTCATACAGTGCGCATTGTAAATAAATACAGTGCACCAGGAAAGTCTCTCCACAGGAGCACCTAGCTGGTGAGAGTGCAAACAACTGACATTATGTTGGTAGTACTAGGTGCAGCTTGTAACAAAAGAATACGTTCATTTCATACTCATTACAATCATGACATACGCTGGAAGTCTTCGCCTTCTATGATTTGGTTGCTGCCGACGTTAAGGCAATATATTATAGGAGGCCCTGATTCGGCTCAGCTCGGAGAGAACTGCCTGGCGCACTGCATTTATGCCGGCCTCGACGGGCGAGGTGGCTATACCGTGTGCCGGCTCAGCGACCAGGTCCAAAAGGTTGCAAATTCGAGTACCGCCGAGGGCGTGGAGTTTTTTTGTATGTGTTATCGCGCATGTTTGTGAGTTTGCTGATCACAGACAGAGGATCCCGCAAGTGTGTCTAGTGTAGAGGTTAATATATGTCGCCACGAGGGGCATCTCCACAGTGCGGGTAGCGAAAATCAGCATTCTTCGAAAACTGGAAAAAGCCCTCGGTAAAAAATTATATAAAATTTGAAACTAATGGTGTTGCAAGGGCACGTTTTTCTCGTATTAGTAATGATTATGCTAATTTATAATAATCACTACATATTTATTAATATTTGCACATTGTAAATGAATATTTATATATATTTCGAAACTAATGTGGTGCAACAGACCTTTTATCTCGTATTTTTAATAAAGGTTAATCTATTTTATAATACTATCAGAAGGAATGACATTTGTTATACTCTTCAATATTTTCTTAACTGATTTAAATGAAGTATTTTACTGACTACGATCCATGTTGAAATGATGAATGCTATAATTAATTTAAACAAAAGGGAAAATAATACAATTTGTAATAAAAACAAAATTCTTACTATTACAAAGTTCACTGATATTGTATTGAATAGTATGCATTTTTCCTCAAAGATATTAATGCAAACATTTTATATATAAACATTATTATAAAATGTCAACCACAATGATTAAATGCTGTTCGCTGAGAGTATATATATCTTATCTTAATAAATAGATATTGACAGCGAGGTCAGACTTTCTATTAAATTACTTGTTTTTTTAAATGACAAATCTGAACTGAAACGTCTTTGACGATCTTGCAAAAAAACCAATAATATAGAACGATTGATTTCAATCGTAATACAACTCTGTCATATTTGTGAAAACCAATGACAAATTCTTACCGTGTTTTTGTGGGAGTATGTGTCCTATGGTTCTTTAACTTTGTAGCATCTTCTTTCCAATAGAAACATTCTAGTCATTTATTCACTGTTGTTGGCCCTAGAATCAAGACTACAAACATTACTAACAAGGAGCTTGCCAGAATTACGTAGCAGTTATGTTATAACGGCCACATAAATCTCTGCTTCTTTGAAGTGAAAGCGGTTTAATTCCGTGGCTGGGAACATGAAGTCGGCGTCGAGATGTGCCAACGCTGGCTTTGGGGCATCCCATCGTTATTTACTAAAATATATTATGGACCTAAATTGCATAAATTGAACTAGTGGTGCTAAAACAGCACACACTTTCTCGCCCATATTTTCAAGCAACATTGCGGGAAAAGTACTCAAATTTTCGAATGATTGTATCTGACCTTATTCCAAAATCTATCTTTAAATAACAGAATTTCATTTAGGAAAAAATATGTATATTCATAATTGTAGATGTAGGAAGACGCCGAAAAAATATGAATATTTGTGATTGTCGGAAAATCAAGAATTTAACGAAAATTAGACCTTCAGCCTGTGGCGGCTCGTGTCTATTAGCATGTTTGCATGTGCACACCGAAATTAATTCAGTGCATTATCTCTTAAATATCTTTAAACAAGAGGGAAAAAAGTCATCTCAGAGCGTTACGGGAACACGGAATTTCAAAACACGCGCCGCTCGGAAGCAGCGATTGATAGTCCGCAGCTAGTCCCTTTTGTGAAAGCCAGCCGGTGCAGAATTGCGAGGAAGTAGAGCGCATCGTAGGCTGCCGCGGGGCTGGAGTGGTAAGAGGAAACGACAGTGGCTGTAAGGACAGAATGAGCATTACGCTGAGTACGCGAGTGCCTTGACATGTCTCGCAGATATAACACTCAGATAGCACACGTTTGTAGATAAACACGTGACATTGAACGAAGGAATTGTGAGTTCTCTCTCCACTGGAAAAAGCTCTCATCCCTTCCAATAAACCAGTTCTTTGCTAGCGCGCGAAACGCGAACACATTGCTATCCCGTGTTGCATTCATAATAATTGTGTTAATTTAATATTATACACTCATTCTCTTATACTTTGAAGTGAGTTGCAATTACAAATCCATTTCGAAATAATGAAAACCCAAATAATTTTGTAAAAGTATGTAGTTGGCTACTTTTTAATTGACTTTCATTTTGAAAAACCGAAGTTAGAGTGTTGGTTTTGCTGTCACGCGTGAAGACAATTTGCTGAAAAGAAACAGCGTTGAACTGACTTTGTGTTTCGTCACACAGTGTAGCCGGCAAAATTATCTAGATTGTTTTCAGTATTCGGTAACTTGCACTTGTAAAATTAATTCCGCGTCACAAACTGATGTACTTCTGCTTCAGACTAGTCTAATTTGTAGAGAGGCAAAGGGTTGTCTTTCACTCATTTGTTTATTCTACATTACCATGAAATAGATTTGATTATTTTAAATTATTCAAGAAATAAGTTTATTACATAACATGGTGTTTACTTGCCACTAGATAAACTTCTAATTTTACCTTAGATTGTATTTGCTCTCTAAAACTTGCCTTCTTTGAACTTACTTCTGGAAAATGTACAGTACCGTTTCAAATTCGTCATCCTAAAGTACAGAAATAGTTATTTCTCTTTAACCTTGGAGTGTAACTAGTGGAAAAATAAAACATGAAATTCTCCTTTTGTCAATTTCGATATGTTTGATTTGTAACCACAATCTGGACTTTCTTCAATTTCTTGCCTTATTATATTCTTCCTGTATTAAAAATAAACAAAGCAATGTCTTCTAATTAACGCAATGCAGCCGTCGCGCACAAAAGAAAGTAGTGGAGCAAGGAGCCAAACGGACTTCGAAACAGTCTAAAATGTCAGTCCGGTCCTGGCCTAGTGAGCGCGACCCCCTCAAAAACTGCCCTGTCGTCCCGACCAGACATAATCTCGCCCCGACCCCGTTCGTCCGTCTGTACCGTACTGAACCAGTGTGCATTCAGAAGCACTACAATTCTTTTACTGAAATTTTGACCTCACTAATCGTTTATGAATTTACCTTTCAATTCACTAATCTAAATGGACACAAATCAATTATCATGATATGCCACATTTAGTTCGAACAAATTACTTTCAGGAGCTATTCTGTGCTCGCAAAGCTGCTTCTAAAATATTACTTCTTAATTAAATGAAATAGAAAAAAAAACACCTCACAAATTTTACCTATTATGATGAGTGAGGTTCTTAGTAAAATTTTTCTTTGTTGACATCTCATAGCCATTGCCACATTCCCGGGTAGAGCTCATAACTCACCATCACTCGGTGCAGTGGCAGCAAACAGATGCCTAACGGGTTGGATGGCGAAGCCAAGCACCCGTTTCAAATTATCGATATTTTAAATTTGATATATTACCAACAATAAAAGTTAAAAATAATATTTGTGTAATGCAATGGACGAATTTCACGTTTTAAAAGATTTCATGATTGTGGAATGTATGTTATTGGAGCTATTTCGATGGGACTTTTTCAGAAAACGAAAAAACAGGGTTATTAAATGAACTCAATCATTGGATCATTGGAACAGGTTCGCCAAAATTAACTGTATTTAATCTGGAATTAGACTTAACTGCCATTGCTTTTGCTAGCGTTCAAGTGCGACTGTTTGATACGAACTACGTCTCTCGAAAAAGGGTTATAAAGAAAACGGGTTATTTTTACGTAATGAATTCTTATATTTAAAGAATTTTCGTTTAGAAAAAATTTAAGCTTTTCCAGTATTAAATTTCGCTTATTAAATAAATGGCAGATAGTGGGCTCTAAATGTATTTTCATTTCTTCTTATCAAAATGTAAAAACGCCAAATTTTAATTATATATTAAAATTAATAAAAAAGAACACTTAACGCCGTCATCTCTCCATTACATCGTTTCTCGAGTTGCAATTGATCAATGGAAAGCAGTCGGTCTTGCGCAAGAAGCTATGTTAATGGAGAGATATATCCAGTGAAACGCAGATAGAACATTTTTAGGTACGAAGATTGATTTAAATGAAATAACTGTAAGGGTATGTACACGCAATGTCTAACTATCACCTGAAACATGTGCCTAATTAAAAAAATATATGAGTGATTATAATTGTTTGTGAGTCTTTACGTTTTTTATTTAAGGTGGATTAAATACTTCCTATCGTAGTCCATTTCAATGCTTGTGTAAATATCTTGGTGAATACAAAATATAACCATTACTTAACTCTTACTACCCGAAACTTATTTAACTGTTTCCTGTGAATTATTGTTCCAGCATTTGTTAACATCATCCATTTCATTGGGTTTAGAATAAGTATGAATGATTTGAACCAATATTTTGGGGACGAATCAATATTTAATGTAGGGCATATGTAATAATTTATTGTTGAACCTATTTTTCCTTTCGTGAAAATTAATCGCTTGGGTCCAGCGAATACACGAGTGCTGTGTGTTCGCAGGCAACGGGTACATCACGACGGCAACGCTGCGAGAGATCCTGGCGGCCCTGGACGACAAGCTGGGCCCCGACGACCTGGACGGCATCATTGCGGAGATCGACACTGACGGCTCGGGCACCGTGGACTTCGACGGTACGCGCACAGGCCACGCCCGCCTTAGCTGACTCACATCAACTAACATCACTGCAGTACCTCTGACCAGGAGGTCCGAGGGTTCGAATCCCGACAGTGGCAGGAACTTCGACAGCGAGGTCGAGGTCAGCCGCTGTCCGTAGGACAATTCCAGCGCCCAACTGCTCGGATCGGTAGTTTTCCGTGGTTTCTTCCATCAACAACCGGCGCGATAAACCGGTTCATTACAGTTGTTTCTGCAGCGACTGAGGAGGTCTTAGGGTTTGGGTCGCGTCGGTAATGGATTTTGACACTAGTTAGAACTAGTTTATAGATAGATTGAACTCAGCCGCTTTCTGGAGAAGAACTCTGGCAGCCGGCTGATGAGATCGGTAGAAGTCCGTGTTTTTTCCGATCAACACAGGTGAATGTCGGAGTGAAGTGTCGCCACATCCCGTGGGTGATTTTTTTTTACTCTTTCCTGTCCTTGCTCTGTTCTTACTCGCACGCGCACGCACGCACACACACACGCACGCGCGCACCCACGTGCGCACACGCGCACACGCACGCACGCAGACACACACACGCGCGCGCGCACACACACACACACACGCACACACACACAAACTACACTTCTTATGCCGAGAGTCTGTCGACTAGGGCTTGTTCCGACGGGAGGAGTGTCTCGCCGATGGGAGATACCTGGTTGGGGAAATCCCCACAAGCCTTCGTTTAGCTCGGAGCCGGTTCTCACAATCCAGCAGGGAAGGAATATCATCATTTCCAAGCAATGGACTTTTATTACTCTAACAGGTGTAATAATCCCAACTGTTACATGTCGAAAGCATTAAAAAATCAAATTCGGTCTGGAGGCCGAGCTGACGTAAGCTAATCTTAACCTTACTGTGAAGTTACCTTGAGGCACAATCGATGAGAATGTCGATTCGAGGGGTATTTTTTTAAAAATCCTTTTAATAATTATAATGAGTAAATTCAATTAACCAATTTTGTATTTTTTAAAATTTTGTTTTGCACGCATTTCAAAATAAAGTTTCAGAATAATATGGTAAAAAAAATAATCTCCACAAAAATTTTAATAATTTTTATTAATAATTCTCCAATGGAGAACTATTAATAAAATTATTAAAACCTTTGTGGAGATTATTTCTTTTACGATATTATGGATTACCACAAGATATCTGCTACCACCACGGAATTTAAGTTTCAGAACATTTTAAGATTTGTATTAAAAAATTAAGGTTAGACGTTATTTGAATGAGAAACATTCAGCACCTGAGTAGAGATTGCTACCAAATGCACTAACCGATATGAAGTCAATTCAATTCAATTATATTATGTTAGTAATTTGTTTACAGAATGGCCCTATTAAAAATAGAAATAATACAGTAATACACAACAAATACAAATAATACACAATAACAAAACAATACAAAGCATGCGATACAAACTAATTGAGACAACAGAATATACAAATATATACAAAACTATTTGTATCAATTGAGGCTTGACTCGTTAGAGATATGCTAAGGTACCAATAATTCAACAATTAGAGTGCTGCTAGAGTAGAATTTTGCTTGAACTATTTATTTATAGTAAATGCCCGCTATTTCAAATTGATGAAATAAAGAAAAATACAGAGTTCCGTAATTTTCAGGGTTTAGTTCAATCAAACAATTGGGAAAGAATAATACAGCATTGTGGTAAGGTCCTCTAAGCCCTTTATAAAATGGGCACTCCCATAAAATATGTTTAAGGGTATCTGAACAGTTGAAGATTCGTTAGAGAATTTAACCGGTCGATGGTTTCGCGGATTTTTTATCCGGTTGCTCGATTCGCATTGTTATTGTGCGCTACGAACTGCCTTGTACGTCAAAAAAGCTAGAAGAGTATTTACTGAAGAACACTTCAATTACTATAAACATTTCGAATAATCATGTATGTACGAACAAATTTCCCTGATGCGATATACTGTTTACGTCGACATCTCCGTTTTTTAAACGTGTACTGACACAAGTTTTGTACAGCAATAGTAACACACAGCTTTATAAATGTTTTTGTTTAAAAAATATTTATATCTTTATATGCAAATAATTGGTTTTCGAAATTTAAAATAATTGTAATTCAAACGTTCCCCCAAAACATGCAGGTTGTGTCCATGACCACTACCAATCATAGCAGTGCAATACCACTTACTACGACACGTAACAAATTAAATCTGTAGCTTATTTACTAATGGACATATTTTCTATTGAATGAAGTCCCACATTCTTCCTTGTCAAATTAAAGTTTCTTTACTACCTTTATTTATAATTCAACCAAGTTTTGTAGCAGTGAGGTTAGGGATCCCCAAGTTCTGTAAACCGGGCGCACTTAACCCCATTATAGACACACACTTTTTACTGTTTCTTGGATGATACAAATAAATGAGGAACTCCACAGATACGCGCGTGCTTATGTTAACATGTCAAAATAAAAGCAGAAACAGTAGAATGCACTCACTCTATCCTCCTGTCTGCAGAGTTCATGGAGATGATGACTGGCGAGTAAACTGTCCGGCAACTGCAGCTTCTAGCACATCGGCAGTTTCCACCACGCGAAGCCAACTGGCTTCCACTCGTTCGCCTCTCCGCCACCAGAGGCGCCACCGCCGCCTGCCCAGGGCACGCCTCCGCCTCGCCCACGGCCGACTTCAAGCGGTTGCATTGTTGATTAATAAATACACGGCTCTTTTTTGTTTCTGTAGTCTTTTATTTCCTTCCTTTTACTGTTTTTTTACTATTATTGTGAATAATAAAAGAAAGAATAAGGCGATAAGGCTTCTCTGTTGGTGGGTAAGACATTTTTTAAGAAAGAAGAAAAGAATGGTGCAACTTGCGGTGCCTCTCTCTCAACGATTTCATTTACTTTATTGGGAATTTCATGTGATTGTTAGAGATGATAATACTACGAAGATATTACTAGAAGATGATATTAGGTGTTATAAGGTCGCCTTTCCCTCTTCAGTTGTCGTCCAAATTCTCTTATGACAAATACACAAAACATGAGTTTAGGAATTTTTCTTGATATGAAAATTGTTTTTGTATTCGTTGACGCTAATCGCTGTCCTCCGCTTTGGAGGAAACAAGATGATCTCCTCCCACGGCTACTTTGGAGATGTGAATAGCTCGGCAAATATTATTGGTTTCACCCCCGTTAGAAGTAGATCTATAAAGTATATCAAGAAAGGGAGTGAGCAGTTCCATTTCGTTTAACATTTGTTACCTAATTATTAAAAAAACGACCACAGAATATTAATAAAGAAAATGCTGGTTTGGATATATTAAGGACTACATATGTTAATTATATCTAATAAATTAAATAGATTTGGTGCAAAACATTTGGCTTTGAGGTAAGACATGATCTTGTGGTCCCCTATACATCATTAACAGATCTTACTATTATTTGTCGATTATTTCAGATTTAAAATGCATACTCATTTATCATCAGTTGATTATAGAAAAACGAACGTAATTCTTTCAAGGTTTGTGTTCTTTAATAGTATTTAAATTTGAATTGGAATGAATGCCTTGTTTTACGTGGCGAGACTAATAGTAGATTTATCTTTATTTTTTTAGTAGAAATTTGATTAATCATTTTCTTGCGCTGCAAACATTAATAATGATACGTCCTTTTGCTTATATAAACCTAGTTATAAGCAATACATACATACCTAAAAAAAATGCACATATGCATGCATAATTCATTTTCATCAGTCATATTCTTTTTACATTTCCTCCCTTTAGTGTAGAAATATTGCATAGTGGTTTGAAGTGAATGACACTCAACGGAAAATTTTTAATTTACACAACTCGAGCAAATTAAAGTATTGCATAGAAAATAATATTAAAAATAAAATTTCAATATTTTAATAGATTCGTATTTCTTTTTTGTAAAAGCCAATTTTCGCCTGCACATGGCGTTAACGCGAATTGAAGTATTTCTGTAGTAATCAGAGAAAAAGTTTTGGAATCACCTCAACAATAAGAACTAGAATGTTAAACCCCAAATCTCGTAATTAATGTTCTTTGAGCTGCAACTTTGCGGGTACATCGTAATTAAGGAATATTAGCGTCATTTTACGATGGTTAAGAATGGTGGAATTCAAGACAAGATACACGCATTTTTGTAGCCGAAAACCACAACTTACACGTAGTATACACAACTTCTATTAATAATTACTTATGATAAATTAAGGTTTTAAATTAAAGGAGGGTAGGATTTATTGATAGTAGGATTCTCCAATACAAAATACTTTAAACAATTCTGGTAAGATTAAAACATTTCATTTCAAAACATATTTAAATTTGTGTTTATAGTAAATAGTAATTGTATTGTAACAAATGTTTGATGCTCCATAATTTCATTAATATACAAGAATATATCGTTCAGCAAACGAAATAAAAAACAAAAAGGAGGGATTTTCCATTTTCTATTTAATGAATAGGTATGTTTTCTAACTGTCCTACAGTCTTTTCTTTGGTTCGATATGATCGCAACGGTCAGATGGTTTACATTTCATTTTGAATTTCTTCTATATCTTTAATATAAAACCGGAGAGTTCTTTCTCTCTGCAATTTCTCACTCACTTGAATGGCGTTCCACAAAGGATACAAAAGTGTAAGGGCTAAGTAAATGTGACAATACTGAAAATCAAGAAAGAAACTATTCTTTATTTTGTTAATCACATACAAACGTTGATAACATTCTGTCCTGATTTATTTTCAAAATAATAAACATGCGTCGAACAAAGAACAAATCTGTGCATGTGAGAAAATCCATCTCCATCAGGTTTTTCGTAGTTTACATGATTCATTGATCAAATGCTGAGCTACCCCTCGTTTTGCTTCAGGATATTCATGTAACTTAACAATACGTACGTTACACTATACCTGCTTTTTCTAGTTGTGTTGGACGAGAGATCTGCGTTTCTATTTGCTTGGTAATACAATAAAAACCAATCTGGCGGCCGTTTACCAATTCACATATTTTTGTTGATTGTTTATTAAGCACTTAATTATGTATAAGAAATAGTGTGGAAGAGTTTCTGCGGATCTAGGAAAGTGTTAATATTTTACATCTGACCCCAATGTCACATATGTTTTACTGTTTTTTCCGCAAAAATTAATAAAACTAAATCAACAACTCTTTGTATTTCAAGAAATATTGGTATACAATTTTTTTGTTTCTTTGTTTCTCATTTCTTAAATGCCATTAATTAGTTAACTTCTAAAACCCGATTTTTAATTGCTACTAACTAAATGTTTAACTAAATGTAACTAATACTCAACGTGACAGTAAATTCAAACGACAAACATTTATTGTAGTATCATTAAGTGTTAAGAAGCATAATCACCATGAAAAAGCAGATACCATGGCATTTGGTTTCATTGTTACTCTGTGATTTCTAGAACGACCCTCAGCAATTTCTACAACAAACCATGCGATGCCTGCTGCATTCATTGCGGTTTCTCACGCGATGTGCCAATCATCCAGATTGCTTCCGTCGAGAGCTATGATGTCAAAGGGCGTCTGGTCCTTCCAAGCTCGTCTCCAAACCTCCAAGTCTCTCCCAGCGTCCAAAGCACGGACCCACACCGCAGCCTCTTTGTGTCCTTGAACCCGCAAGCAGATTTTTGTATCAGAATTGAACGAGGTTTCCTAAGACTTCTGAATGCCAAACGTCGTCTTGTTGTTCGAATATCCCCTCAAGGGCCCTCCTGGCGCCGGCCTTGATAAGCACGCGCATCGCTTC